TCCCTTGCACACGACTGGTCGTCCAGTGTCTGAGTGTGTTTAACTTCGTTCACACCATTGCGTAGCCAACCGCGCTAGTCGGAGGTGCCGGGGAAGGACAACAAACTAAACACAATAAGCAGTTCTCAAGAAATGAGTTTTCAATCTAGATTTCAGAGTGCATAGCTCAGGGGGCTTCCTAATACCCATCCAGGTGCTTCCTAACATTGGCTTTTCTAATGAATAGAGTCGTTATTGGCACTGGACTCTGAAGTGTGCGGTAACTAATGTTCAGACTTATGCACAACCCTTCTCTTGACAATTGCCCGGTAAATGAATGACATCGAACGTCATCCTCCATAGGCCCCTTGCCTTTCAGCAGCTCTCCCCCCGTTCCTGTTCTGGGTCATCATTTCACACCTCCGATTAGCACGGTTGGCTATATATGGTGCGAAAGAAGCTCAACAGACATCTCCATGCCCTGCCCACCACAGTACACGTCGTGGTCTCACCACTGCCAACCACCTCTTTCACTGTCCCATCCTCTGGTTCTCCACCAAGGCTTCGTGCTTTCACTTCTGCTGTGCACAACATCTGGGTGTGATGTACAGTCGCGAGTATGTAATGACGGAAACATTACCCCAAGCCAATATGCATCCAAACGGATATTTGAAAATAAACAAAGGTCTCCGATTGGTAGAAAGAGGCCTCCACGGTGATTGGTCAGGAGACAGACTTTTAAAGGGTTTGGAGGAATGAGGTTTGAACGAGATCGATCGGAAAACAGAGAGGATCCATTAGAAGGGAAGGACATGGATTGGTTAAGGGAGAAGCAAAGACAAGAAGGTTCCAGAAAGGGGGCCTGATGAATATTAAAGCGGAGAGCACGAGGAGTGGGACGCTTGAAGGAAGTTAGAAGCTGGAATACAAGCACGAAGCCTATGGTCATTTATTGTGGCTGTGTCCAAATAAAAAGTGTCTCTTACTATGTCGTCGTCAGAGTCGCTACAAGTAGACTGCGCGAATTAAACGTCGGTTTGTGAGTTCTAAATCGAGACTTCCTATACCTCGCCACCATCATTGCAGGACTTGAAATCGGTGGGGTGAGGAGGAGGCCAAACTCGGCGGAGGGAAGAGGGCGAGCGGGTTTGTGCGGTTGGAAAGAAATCTCGAGGTTAGCGACAGGGGCCGACTGATGTCCAGAGGGAGACGATTCTGTAGCGATGATGCAAATTAGGAAGGAAAGCACATCACGTAAACAAATATCTTATCAGTCGAAATAACAAAAGATGCGCTCTGGCTGACTTGAATTTTCATGCAGTGTCCTGTACACATTCAAAATGATCGATTATGATCACTGTTACATTGTTTTTTTAGCATTATGTTAGTAATTTCTAAAAAGGTTTAGTTTAGCCTGATGTTTTTTTTATGTAGTATAGAGTTATACTTAAACATTTAATCTATATTGTATTATGATTGTTATTGTGATCTCACATCAAAATGGGATTTTGTTGCACATTTTTGTACGCAGCATAAACAAATTGTGCTTTTTCTGGAAGATGTTATTGTTTTTGTAGGGGAAGTTTCAATTTGCGCACAGTAGATTTTAAATGTATCTTGTAATTTTATTGCTGGTTGCGGTTGCACCCATATCAACAGCCGAATGGCTCACAGGGTTATTCCAAATAAATGAAAAACTGAAATGAAACTGCAGCAGGCCCTGTACATGTGCGTGAACTTGCTATGAATGTGGACTTTGGGATTCTTACGAATTGCCTCACTCGCTCAAGCGTTTTGTGCGTCTCATCTTGGCACGGGTGGAGCATTTGTGCGTCGCAGATAACGGACGGCAAAGCCTCTGTGCGGACAAATGTGTCGTGCGGAGCGAAATAAGTTCAACGCACTGAATTTCCCACCATCCTCCACGTCGATGACACCTTGGAACCGAGCAGCTGTTGAGGTCGTTCCTCGACATGCCCGGTCAAGCAATTCTGTTCTCGCGTAGGATGGCAGCAGCAGCAGCAGCAACAATATGTTCAATGAGCTTATAGATGGCCCTCCTACGTCGAGAGGTACTCTCGCCACGACGAGAGGAGGGCTTCAGCAGAGCGAGTTGCAAATGACAGCGGCAACATTTTGTCAACGGGGGAGAGTGGGGAATGGCTCTCGGCGCGGATTAAACAAACAACGAAATATGCACCGCACGCAAAGCACTTGCAGCGAATGCCCGAATGTCCACACTGAAGCATTAATAAAACAAACACGGACCCGCGTGACTCAGTCTCATCTGTGGCGACTCCTACATAAAATGATATTTTAAAAACGTTTATTAAAAAAAGTATCCATATTATCCATAATAGAGGTTATTTTGGGGGTTAGATCGCATAAATATACGCGTCGTTAAACCCACCACCACCCGACACAGCAAATTATTAAGGTTGTGTCACATATCAACACGTGCCAATTCGTTTCGAGGAGAGCCACGCACCGGTTGTGTGTTGGAGGGTAAACCCACAACATTTACAATTCGAGTATGACGTTTCGCCAGTAATTATAACTAGCATCATAATCAGTGCTTGTGAAGAGTTTCGCCTGCATTAAGTCCGTTGGGCCCGGACCAAATTTTGTCTGCTATTCTATCCTTGCGCATGGCATCACGGCAGCGTGTTCTGGAGCTAAATGCCACCAAATAAATGTTGACGTCTGCTGTTGGCCACGGCGAGAGAGATTCAGCGGAGAGAGAGTTCATGTCGTTTTGCTGTTCCTCCTACTGTTGAAGGAAGAAGGGTAGGGACTACGGTGGTTGACCTGCGCAGTCCATTGTTTAGGTTGCATGGTCACAGTCTCACTATCGTGGCTCGCCTTTAAAGTATATCTATGGGTCTCTATGAGTCTCTGTGGGTTTACTATATGGCCAACAGTTTGGGTTGCACGGCCACAATCGTGCTCTGGCTTTTCTTTCGTGTGTGTCTGGGTCTCTACGTATCTATGCGTATCGGTGTATCTCCGTGTATCTCTGCTTACGTATTGTGTTCAGCGAAGACAGATGCCACTGTCGAGTTCTGTCAGCCACGCCGAGAGGGCTTCAGGAGAGAGAGAGAGTTCGTGTCGTTTTGCAAAGCATTTTAACAAACCAGAACTCGATTTTAAACAGCGCCATTCACAACAAGGCCTCAGCGCGTTGGAGAAAAGAACCCAACCCTTTAACTAATAATAAAAAAGAAACAATCAATACCCCCCCCCCCCTACACAGGCGACTAATGAAACAAAAACAAACCAGAAATAAGCAGCCGACTCTGTGGTGGCACCTGCGATGGCAACCCGCGAGTTGCACAAAGCGAATTACGCAATGACATTCTTTCATAAGCGTGTTATATCACACGATCTACTCTCATTCGCCACGGAACGCAACACCGGCGTCGCAAAACACCGCGCCGTCGGACGAACGCCGACTGGAGAGGTGGTCACCTCCCCTGCTGCATCCGAACGAGGTCACTCCACGAGAGTGGACGGTTGGATTCCAGCCACGGGCCGTTCGACCCCGAGCCGCGGCCACCGCCCGTAAATTTTACGTCAACGATTCTGGAATGTCACCAACCCGCAACACACGGCTCACGACCACACTGCCGTGGCTCACTGGCCCCTGGCGTTTGGTACGTAACTTTTGCGGCGTCGGGCCTCTGAACTGAGACGTTGGACCTTCGTTGACTGGTACCTGGCTAAAGCAGGTTGACGTTAACGCCCACTGACAGCGACGCTGCCGTGGATCGTTGTAAGAGGTTAAAGGTGCAGCCCTGTAAACGTCTTGCTCACGCCACTGGAGGCAGCTTTAGAGAGCCCTTCTAAATGGATATTTGGCTTAATATTCCATGCCGGCCAGACGTATTAGAATAGGTGAGAGTACCCACACTTTACTCCACCAGACACGGCCTGCCGATCGACTGATCATTTATAACTGCTCGGTGGATAGAAGCCACGGAATAAAAAAAAACAACAACCTGACGCATTGTTTCAATGTGCCGCACAGCAAGATCGAACCGGCGACTTTCGGACTGCCCAACGTGCTTACCATTACTAGAGAGACACGCAAATTCCAAATATACAACAGCAGGCGTCAGCGTCGGGATCGAACCCACGACCTCCTGTAGACCAGGCGAGTAAGTTAACATCTCCTAGCCACCGTGGTGCCCCTTAAACCACGGCAGAATGCTGTAGTTCAAATGTAGCGCAGTTAACTTAATATTGCCCATTATTAAAATTTGAAAGTTATTTTATTTATGTGCTGTCCGTTTTCCTGGGTGAAAAATGCTGGCGGTGTTACCTCCTTGCGCAGTCCTGTCCCAGCCTGGCTCAAATACTCAACAAACACAATGAATCACCATAGATTATGTCTCGGGGTTAAGCTACGTGTAATACCTTAAGATCTGCACTGTAATCGCCACTAAAGAGTACTCAATGTTCTATAACTAATGAGTAATACCGTACACAGCTGTGTGGTCTTAACTCTGCCTCTGAACTTGACCCTTGACCTGCTGTCACTGCTGCATAATGCAATATGAAATCGGTACAGTTTAATTACATAGTAATATAATTTAACTTAATTTAAAACGTTACGTTTCTATGGGCAAGTGCATATATTTCATGCTCTTGCGATATTAATGTGCGTCTTTAACCTATTAACAGTATTCAATATCGAATTTAAAATTGCTATGTCTTTTTAAAGAGAGAGCGTGTACATTCGTAACAATTGTGGCTCTAACTCAGCCTCGCTACTCCAAAATAGTTTTTTCCCCCAAAAACAATTACTCCTTCGAAAACGCGCTAATGGGAACCAAACTAAAACCGTTTATACCAACCCACGATTAGCATTAAAACGGTTAATAATTTACAGTCCTCCAACCAGCTTGGGTGGCTGATATATAACGCTGTTGAGTCACAGGGCCCCCTGCTCTGATGTTTGCGAATGCCAAGTGCTGGGAGTTTATGCCTTGCGCCACAGACGCAGGCAAGCACTGGCCGGAGTTGTCGGAATAAAGGCAGCAGTAGCATGAGCACCGGCTATAATTTTTGAACCGGTCCACGAAAAAACATAAAATCGCCAGGAACCTTTAATTTTTTTTGCCAGCGATGGCCACTCTGCTTTGGATTTTGATTCTGCACTCAGTCTCCCACGTCGTCGAGGCGCGGGCGGGCGACGGGAAGAGGGTGTGGGACACCTTCCTCAACATGTCCTATCCAGACGGGCGGCTTCTGCTGCCCGACGAGGGCTTCCCTCCCGGTTTCATCTGGGCGACTGGGACGTCGGCCTACCAGGTGGAAGGCGCGTGGAGGACCCACGGCAAGGGCCCGTCCGTGTGGGACACCTTCACCCACGCCCGGCACGGCCCGTCGGGCGACGTGACCAGCGACAGCTACCACCACCTGGACGGCGACCTGGAGGCGCTGAGGTTCCTCGGCGTCTCCCACTACCGCTTCTCCGTCGCCTGGACCCGCATCTTCCCGGGCGGCGTGGCGGGGCGGCCCCGCGAGCAAGGCGTGCGGTTCTACGACGGGCTCATCCGGCGTCTCCTGGCGGCCGGTGTCCAACCCGTGGTGACGCTCTTCCACTGGGACCTCCCGCAGGCGCTGCAGGACGCGGGCGGCTGGCAGAACGAAAGCGTCGTCGACGCCTTCGCCGACTACGCCGCCTTCTGCTTCGAGGAGTTCGGAGACCGCGTCAAGCTGTGGATCACGGTGAACAACCCCTACGCGGTGGCGATGCACGGCTACGGCAGCGGGCTGCACGCGCCCGGCGTCTCGGGCTCACACCGAGCCCCCTACCTCGTCGCCCACAACCTCATTAAGGTAACGTGAAGTCCGGTCCTGTGGTGGGAAGAGGACATCGGGGGGGTTTGGCTGTGACAACGTCGGGGTGGGGTGCACAGCATAGACGCCAGGCAGCGCTGGTGCCGAGCCGGGTGGTTGCGGTGGCTACGTTGCTGCTGCTGCTGCACGTAGCTGCCTGTAGTCCAGCGTTGTGGAGGCGGCAGCGAGGGTTGGTGGATCATCGCACGGATGGGTTTTGAAACTCCCTTGCCGTGGGCGTCGAGGGAGGTGCAGTACCCTGGGACCGCCAGGAGAAGGCGATCGAGGAAGTGTGGACTAATCGCCATCTGTTTCCGTCTTTACGGGGATAGGGCGTGGGGTTTTCTCCCAGTGCTCCGGGGCTACGCTGTGGGCAACTGAGGGCACTGCAGCAAAACGATTGTCGTACTGTACTATGCTGCAACGTCGATGCTCCCCGCGTTCACCAACCCACGCTGATCAGCGTGGTGAAGTTTTGGTCAAATAATTCTCACAAGCCACATGGCATGGGGAGGCCCTAATCCATCAGCGGATTGACAAAGCACAGTGCATTAGTTATTCGTAACGGCCAAGGTAGTTACATTTATACGGCAGTATGATCTAAAGTGTAGATATCTCATTGGAATTCCCATTCGTCGACTTTTTCAGGGTCCACTCAATGCCACTGTCATCGTAATCACCCAGTGCTGGAACGTTGAGCACTCATTATTGTTGGTTCAACAGTAGTTTGCCGTGTTAAGAGGACCCCACTATGTGTATAGGGCGGCAATGGGAAATAGCTGCTGACCAGCAACCACGATTATGTTACTTATCACGGTCTGCGAGCGACGAAGAGAGGGCTCCAGGAGAGAGTTTGTTAAACACGTGTGAGGCTTTCGCGACCAATATTATTCATAATCAACGTTTTTGGGTTTAGATCGCGTTATTTATAAATGTGTCGTAACCCTCCACCACCCGACACGGCCAATCAGTAAAAAAGTGTCACGTTGACAAAAGACAATTAGTTCAATGCTTTAGCCCACCGGTGTGTTGAAGCGTGAAACCACAACATTTACAATTTGAGTAGTACGACGTTTCGCTGGTAATTGCATCCAGCATCATCGGGCAATTCGCCAGAATGGTGAGAGAGTTTGTGTACTTTTGATTTTCCTCCATTAAAGGAGCGCAGACAGTGGTATACTATATGGTCCATAGTGTGGCTTGCATGGCCATAATTATACTACTGTGGCTTGGTTTTTTTCTTAGTATCTCTTTGAGTCTCTATGTATCTCTGAGTGTCTATGGGGCCGTCCATAAATAACGTCACGCACCTGGGGGGGGGGGTCAGATATTTGTGACGATGTGTGACGAGGGGGGGGGGGGGGTTGAGAAATGTGACGTCACATCAAAATGCGCAACTTTAAATAAATATAGACAACACGTTCTACTTAACTAAATATACTTTTTAATAAATGTTTTCTCCTACAACATCAGAGTGCAGCGCCACATTAAATACGCACTACAATGACAATAGACATCCTTGGAGAGCTCTTTGGTCTTGGCCATGGTTGAGAGTTTGGAATCTGATTGATTTCTTCTGTCAACAGGTGTCTTTTATACAGGTAACAAGCTGAGATTCGGCTCACTCCCTTTAAGAGTGTGCTCCTAATCTCAGCTCGTTACCTGTATAAAAGACACATGGGAGCCAGAAATCTTTCTGATTGAGAGGGGGTCAAATACTTATTTCCCTCATTAAAATGCAAATCAATTTATAACATTTTTGACATGCCGTTTTTCTGGATTTTGCTGTTGTTATTCTGTCTCTCACTGTTCAAATAAACCTAGCATTAAAATTATAGACTGATCATTTCTTTGTCAGTGGGCAAACGTACAAAATCAGCAGGGGATCAAATACTTTTTTCCCTCACTGTATCTCTGAGTTTATGTGTCTCAATTTATATCTTATACATCTCATTGGGTTAATTATTTGGTCCATAGTTTGGGTTGCATGGCCAAAATGGCACCACTTTGGCGTGTGTCTTTAATGTTCCATTTAAGAAGGAGATGTTCCCATCAGCTTATCGAAGTTGTGATGCGGTTGATGGTTACACCAGTGGTGAGTGGGTGAGTGAATTGGTGAGTTGATGGTTACATCAGTGTCTTGGAGGAGAAATGTCAAAGCCAGGTGTGATGTCTGGGTCTCGAATGAGGTGTTCGTTCTGGACGTCCGTGTTGTCTATTAGCATGGGGTGGCTTTGTCTTATCGTGCGTTAAGTTTTCTTGGCGTCTTTGCACGTGTGAAGCCTGCGGTGTGACCTGGCTTGGTCATAATATATTGAAAATAAGCAACTGTAAGCAAATCATCCCCGTGGAAGTCCACAGTTTGTAAGTGTGACGCAGTGCAGCAATTTAAATTGTATTCACAAAATGTAATGTTTACAACACTGAGCACACAAGCTCCTTCAATGACAAGCCACTTGCAAAGGCAGTGCATGCATCAACAACCGTGCTAACCTCCGATTAGCGCGGATGGCTATGTACAGTGCGAAAGCCATTCCGATGGGTTGAGTAACCGCTTACTCTTCGGATTATGTTGTCAGTTTGATCACTCGAATAATCTTATTTAGAACTGCGTTTTGTGTTTAGTTTGTTGTCCTTCCCCCGCACCTCTGACTATCACGTTTGGCTACGTACGGCGCGAAATAGGTTCGACATACATACAAATTAGTTGGGGGAGGGGGGGGGGTCTTACCTCTGTTTCCACGTGTGCCGCTGGGCGGGAGGTGACGGGCGGGGTTTGGTGACGGCATCATCGCGGAATGCGTCACGCTGGGCGTGGCTTGTCGGGGGTTTCCCGCCTTCGGGAGAGAGGCTGTGGGGGCGACGCATTGTTAAGTCGATTACGGTCTCCATCCACTGATCGACCACGTGTCCCAGCTCGCGGCGCGTGACTTGTTAAATCAATGCCACTGGTATCAATCCTCTTTGGATAAATGTGATCTTGAAGACCCCGCAATCCTGATGAATTACCCTACCGATGAAGTTAGTTATTTAGTTACAGTCGTCTGCTGGAGCTGCCAAAAGAGCGCAAATTAAACTTGTTCCAAAGCATGCACCACTCTTTAAAATGTATTACTTTTTTAAAGCCCCTTTATAAGTACAGCCCCTTTGTCAATCCACTGCTGGATGGAGCCCCCTTCCCACCCATGCCGTGTCGATCATGGGGGGAGGGGAGTGCTTTACCATACTTCCACACACTGGTCAATGCGGGTTAGTGAGGGAGGGGTAACCCAGGACAGGTTCAGATGTCACGCCATGGCCAGGAATTCAACTCGGGTTGTTGGGGTTCATAGCGCAGCGCAAAACCACTCCCACCACCACGCTTCGAAGACCACCAACGTGTAACAAAGATTATGTTTCCCACTGCTACTATTGCCATGTTCGGTTGAACAGTCGACCAAAGGAGGCTCTCGAAATGACTGACTTTTTTGTTTGTTTGTTTAATCGCTTTACATTCTCCTGCCAGCCGAGAAATACGCGAACGCCCGTGGTTGTGCGCCTGGAGACTTTCGGCTGAGAGCCCTCGCTAGAATCCTGCCACTGCTCCGGTGCCCTGATGCTGACAATTTAGCCACACGGCCGTACAACTGAGCGGCGCCTGCGTGGAGACCCATATGATTGATCACCTTGTTCTGCACCTTCGGTTTTCTTTGTCAGATCGGCGAAGCAGAAGCATTTTTTTGGTGTGAGTTCCACCGTCGTGACGTTACGCTGCCCTTGCGTCGTGGTCGGACGGTTCCATTCGATCTCACCGGTGCGGCGTGTTGAAAAAGGACGGTGCAAGTTTCTAAACTCACCCCTCTCCCCTCCACCCCTACCACCTCTGGTCCACTCAGTGCCGGATTAAGCTAGTGTAGGGCCTGCATAGCATATGTTATGAAGGGGGCCCTATATAATTCTTTTTTTAACACAAATGTTTTTCTTGCATAGTAATTGTATTTTTTTTACTTGCTATACAGCCAAATAATACAAAAAATCGCTAACCTTCAACAAACACCCAGTCGTTCGTAAACGTTGAAGGTGGTATAGTACTATAGCAATAGAGCAAGTGCAGAATCACTGAACCCGAATTGATAGCGTGAAAGCATTTAGCGCGGGGCCCTTGAAAGTGCGGAGCCCGTAGCATATGTAGGAGCTACTTTTGCTACTAGGATCATCTGGCACTGGGTCCACCCAGCTATGTAAATGGATTTAACAGCAGTCCATCGGCAGGTGGGGCAGGTGGTGGCATCCTTTGCACGGAATATTGCTATAGAAATAAAGACTTGATTGATTGAACGCCCACATCTTTCAAGACGTCTGGCCAACGTGGAAGAGTAGGCCAAATACCATCTTAAAGGGGCTGCCTCGAGCTTCCTCTCGTGCAGGTCGCTTCCTCCAGCAGTGGCGTGAGCGAGCGATTGCAGGGCTGCGCCTGCATCTTTTTATACATTTACATGATTTATTTTATTCTTTCATAACTTAACGCAGACCATCAAACTTGCTCAAACATAACCAGGAATACTATATTGGTTACAATGTAGTTTATTGCAGGCAATATTTACAAGACAGCGTTCCCCCCTCGCTCTATGGGGTTGTAGTGGTAGGATCGTTCCAAGAAGAGGGCGCACAAAGCGAAGTCGCACGAGGAGACAGCTGCCTACCAAGTAGCGCATACAGTACACACACAGTACACGCACAGTACACACAGTACACACACAGTACACACACACACGGTACACAAAAAGTACACACACACGGTACACACACAGTACACACAGAGTGCACACAGTACACAGAGTACACACAGTACAGACACAGTACACACACACACAGTACCAACACACGGTACATACAAACAGTACACACACGGTACATACAAACAGTACACACACACACGGTACAGACACGGTACACACACAGTACACACACACACGTTACACACACACAGTACCAGAGGTGTGGACTCGAGTCATGTGACTTGGACTCGAGTCAGACTCGAGTCATGAATTTGATGACTTCAGACTCGACTTGGACTTGCATAACAATGACTTTGTCCCACCTCTGAGGTGTGGACTCGAGTCATGTGACTTGGACTCGAGTCAGACTCGAGTCATGAATTTGATGACTTCAGACTCGACTTGGACTTGCATAACAATGACTTTGTCCCACCTCTGCACAGTACACACACACACGGTACACACAAACAGTACACACACACACGGTACACACACAATACACACACATGGTACACACACACAGTACACACACATCGTACACACACAGTACACATACTTTTTACACACACAGTACACACACACGGTACACACACGGTAAACACACATAGTACACACACAATGCTGTCCCACGTCTGGCCGCATAGCCGCGTGTGGAGTGAATTCAACCCGCTTTTAGCTACATTTTGGAAGACAGGTTAGCCCTATATAGAGCGCAAAATCGCACAAACCAACCATACATGAAGCAAAAAATATAAAATTAACTACTTTTATTGTTCCAGCTAAGGCTCACTGAGCTATGCAGCTCTTTTCCAGAAGCCACAAATGATAGCCCAACAAAGTGGCTTAACATGTGGACATTTATAGCAGCTAAATATTCTAAACATACGTTGATTCTAAGTGTGGGGGAACAACCAAAAGGATCCGGAGAAAATCCAAGCGACCACGCAAATGACAGATATACACGTGTCAGGGTCGGGATCGAACTCACCTCCTTGCATACCAGGCGAGGTCGTTAACATCTCACCACCGCAAGGAAAACTTGTACTGAATTTGGACTATGAGTCAATGATCGACTATTTAAACCATGATGCCGCAGGTTTCAAAACATTTACAGTAATCCCCCCGTTAACATCACCGATAGTAATAGGTGTTTACCCTTTCAACTGGTACAAAATCTGACACCTTTATACAAGGCATCATGTTTGCAATAACCTCAACACAAGAAGTCAAAATGCAAACAAAAAGAAACAACTCTGATGATGATAATGATATGCACTGTCATTATCATCATCAGAGTTGTTTCTTTTTGTTTGCATTTTGACTTCTTGTGTTGAGGTTATTGCAAACATGATGCCTTGTATAAAGGTGTCAGATTTTGTACCAGTTAAAAGGATACAAACCTATTACTATATTTTGCCACTGATAAAGGAGATCTCATAGTGTAAACATCACCGATCTCAAGATGATTGTGGTATTTAGGCACTGCGGACGTTCAATTGACGTATTGTGCCAAACCGATGCACATGCCTCCTGCATACATTAAAGAAAAGTAACATTAGTGCGATGGTGGCCATGTAACCCAAACTGTGGACCATACAGTGAACCCATAGAGAAACACAGAGACACATTGACACTCACAGAATTACACATAGAGGTACATAGAGACACATTGACACTCACAGCATTACACATAGAGAAACACAGAGACACATTGACACTCACAGCATTAAACATAGAGGTACACAGAGACACATTGACACTCACAGCATTACACATAGAGGTACATAGAGACACATTGACACTCACAGCATTACACATAGAGAAACACAGAGACACATTGACACTCACAGCATTACACATAGAGGTACATAGAGACACATTGACACTCACAGCATTACACATAGAGGTACATAGATACACATTGACACTCACAGAATTACACATAGAAGTACATAGAGACACATTGAAAACAAGTCACATGGTGGCCATGCAACCCAAACTATGGACCACGTAGTGAACCACTGGAGTCTGTGCTACTTCAATGGAGGAGGAACAGTAAAACTACACGAACTCTCTCTCTCTGCTGAAGCCCTCTTGTTGTGAGCAGCAGACCTTAACACATTCCTGCGGAGGGAGCTGGTAGGAACGTTGGGTTGCTCGGTCAATGGCCAGGGTCAACAGCAGCGTGGTGTATTCCGCAAATATGGCCGACTGTGAGGGCGGGCACAAGCCGGCGTGAGTAGGTTAAACGTTGAGTTTCATAAGGGTGACCAGCCCCTCCCCACCCAGCCCCACCCCTTCCACCCCCCACCCAGCCCCACCCTCCTCACCCAGCCCCTCTCCACCCTCCCCACCCAGCCCCTCCCCACCCTCCCCACCCAGCCCCTCCCCACCCTCCCCATCCAGCCCCTCCCCACCCAGCTCCTCCCCACCCTCCCCTCCCCACCCTCCCCACCCAGTCCCTCCCCACCCTCCCCTCCCCACCCAGCCCCTCCCTCCCCACCCAGCCCCTCACTGCACGACGGACGGACACAATAATCCCCTGTGGGCTGGTGTAACCAAGAGGTTCCTACCAGTAAAACTACACGAACTCTCTCTGCTGAAGCCCTCATGTCGTGAGCAGCAGACCTTAACATTGACATCTAGCTCCAGAACACATTGCTACTGTCATCATGCGCAAGAACAGAATTGTGCCAAAGACGCAGTGACGAACACCCTACTCTGATCCGTGGCATAGCACGCAATGTGCACTCGTTGGCAACTTAATATTTATGGGCACATTGTAGCGATGGATGCTTGTCATTGTTGAGTTACTATTTAGTTGTTTTATTTAACACCCCAACCTGCTCTCATCTAACTATGTACAGTATTTCATAATTTGTATCTCGAGGTTGGTGAACACGCTGCACCGTGAACCCCAGCCCCCTGAGATTCCCATTCCCCCCCCCCCAAAATAAATCCTCCTGCAAATTTGTCACAAGCATCACGCGGTATTTAAAATAAAAATAATTGTAACGTCGAGGTTCAGTGGGCGCGGCGCGGGTTTTATGCGCATTCTTTACGGACGTCTGATCCCCATACAAAGCGGCTCTTTGCGGCGGATCGTTTCAAACGTTTTTTCCCAGCACACGAACGCTCCCAAGGCCTGTACCGGCCGGTTTGGGTCTAGAGTGCTGCCAGCCATTAACGCTTTTATGAGCCTAGTGCCGAGGTCAAACCGAAATGTCCTTTCAGCGACAAACCTGCAAATATTTATTATCGCCAAGAGAACACCGCAGGGCCCCGCGGACGACGAATGGTCGATATTCGCGAATTAAATCGCGGCGCTCCCATGGCGAGGTGAAGGATATAGCGTGAGACTTAAGAGGCATCGGTGGAGTTTTGACTTCTGTATTTGGAGGGGAGGGGGGGCAGGGGTTCACTTTTAATGTGTCATTTTTATTTATAAATTTGTATTAATGTGTTATTAATGTGTTATTTATATTATGTATTGGTTAGAAATTTGTTCCAACGTGATTTGGTTTTGCCCACAATTTCACTTTTATTGTTCATGCACTTAAAGCACTATGCATTGCATTATTTTTGCACGAATAGTGTTATATAGAAATAAAGTTTGATCGATGGATTGATTTTGTCCCTCACAATCGCGCGTGCATATAATTAATTAATGTACAATCTTAATTGTAAGCTACTTGAAAATAAATTAACAAAGATGTCCCCCCGCGAACTCCGTCCATGCACAGAGGAGGAAGAACGAATCGCAGAGGACAGCAAAGATGGAAGGCAAAATAAGTGAACAGGGTGTCCCGGTTTAGTTTAAGTACGGCGTAAGGAGTCCAGCCCCAGGGGCAAGTCAAGACGATGGCACCAGGGCCGTTCCCTTCACCACCGACGGAGCCTATCGACGTCTTCGTAAGTCAAACGCGTTGAGTCGAGGTCGACGTACTTGTACGTCGACCTCTAACCCCACGGGTTCCTCGCTCCGTCGCTCTCGACAGAGCGCCAACACGCAACGCTTCTTTGAACACAATGCAGCTTTTTTATCTTGTACAAAACTGTCTTGGTCAATATCCACGCTCATGGCCGTTGCCTGGGCCACTGCCTGAAACGTGTCGTATTAAAAACCCTATTAGCGCTAGGCCAATGCCTGACAGTGACGCTGTGATATATGTTGTATATGTTACTGTATTCTGCTTTAGGGCAGCATTATTGCCACACACTTTGAGCATCTATACCTAGTGATTTTTTTCCCCGCCTTGTTCTTTGTTTGACATGGTAATGCAAATACAAAGATCCCATAACTGACGTCACGCACCTGGGGGGGGCAGACATTGTGACGATGTGTGCGGAAGATGGCGGAGAGTGAGAAATGTGACGTCACATCAAAATGCTCAACTTTAAATAAATATAGAAAACACGTTCTACTTAATTAAATTTACTTTTTAATAAATGTTTTCTCCTACAACATCAGAGTGCAGCGCCACATTAAATACGCACTACAATGACAATAGTTTAAAGCGATTTGAAGCATGTTTTATTTTGGGGGGGGCAGAGCTTTGTGACGTCATATTTGATGGGGGGTCTGACTTTTTGTGACGCCGTGTGACAAAGGGGGGGGGGGGGGTAAAAATCGTCCAAAATCGCGTGACGTCATTTATGGACGGCCCCTTAACAGATTGTTGGAGCAAGTGCTCGGAGCAAGTAGCTATGAGGGCAGGCACGGCACACTCGTGGGTGGGTGGCCAGCACCACGCCTGACCGCCTTTGTCTGCCGAGCCTACACACTGCGCCAGGCTACTCATTTCAGGCTGGGTCGACTTCGGGGAGGCTCAGGACTGGTTAAAACGTTGGTCACTATTCTTTATGGTCACGAGCAGGAATTGAACTCGGGGAGCCGGCTTCGTGGCGCAGTGCACTAACCACTGCACTACCGCTCACTTCTCTTTGTTATGCACGCACCCATACACATACACACGTACACACGTGCACACACACACACGTGTCAACAGGCGCACGCCCGCGCGTGGCACGTGTACCACGCGCGGTTCCGCCACCGGCAGCGCGGCCGGGTGACCATCGCGCTCGGCTCGCACTGGGTCCAGCCACAGGGGGCTGGCAGACCGCCCTCCGCGGCCGAAACGGATGCCTGCCAACGCTCCGTCGAGGCTTCCCTGGGCTGGTTCGCGTCCCCCATATTCGGCGACGGGCGCTACCCGCGCTCGCTCCGGGAGCGCCTATGGCACACGCTGCCCTGAGTTTGGCGAGAGCGAGCGGCGCGCCGTGCGTGGCACGGCCGACCTCTTCGCGCTCTCCTTCGGGCCGGATAACTTCGTGGGCGTCGAGGCGAAGGCGCGGTTCGGCCAGCGGCTGTCGCTGGGGCTCAGGGAGGTGCTCAACTGGGTGCGCGCGGAGTACGACGACCCCGAGGTGCTCGTCGTGGAGGCGGGTTGGCTTGTGAAGGCGCACGTCGGGCTCGACGACACCGCGTCCATGCACGTGCACAAGAGCTTCATCGGCGAAAGCCTCAAAGGTAAGTGGGGGTGGGTCACCCTCGTGCCACGCAGCGACTGGTGCCTGGGTTCGATTCCCGAGTCGGGAACCTTCCTGTGTGGAGTTTGCTGCATGTTCCTCCCCTGCCCCCTCCGACCCCCGTTTTCCATGTTTCCTCCGGTTTCTCTGGTTTCCTCCATGCAATAAGAAGTCACTCCTCGCTTAACGACGGGGTTGCGTTCCTGGAAACTCGACATTAATTGAAACGACGTTAGGGGCCATTTATAAATGGCGTCACGTACCTGGGGGGGGGGGGGGGGTGGTGGGTCAGACATTTGGGGACGATGTGTGACGAGGGGGGGTTGAGAAATATGACGTCAAATCAAAATCCGCAACTTTAAAGAAATATAGACAACATGTTCTACTTAATTAAATTGACTTTTTAATAAATGTTTCTCCTACAACATCAGAGTGCAGCGCCACATTAAATACGCACTACAATGACAATAGTTTAAAGCGATTTGAAGCATGTTTTATTTGGGGGGGGGGCAGAGCTTTGTGACGTCATATTTGAGGGGGGGGGTCTGACTCTTTGTGACGCCGTGTGACTAGGGGGAGGGGGGAGGAATCGTTCAAAATTGTGTGACGTCATTTATGGACGGCCCCTTAACAAAACACATTTTCCAATAAGAAACAATGTAAATATGGAAGGTTATGTCCCTGGGAATTTTACGATCATACTTAAGAATATAATTAACTTTTTTGAAAGTACATACAGTATTTAACAAGAAAAAAAAACTAATAATAGCACAGGCGATTAACTGTAGCTATAAGCAGAGAAAATGTTAGGTGAGGTTAACACTCACCAGTGATGGTTGTGGAGCTTGCTAGAGGTGGAGTGACGTGTTTGTGCCACAGGGACACTTCCAATTACTGTTGCACAGCTTTCATCTTCATTTCTAGGTTTTCATTGCAAAGTATGAGTTGCTTTCCTGCACACTTGAGCACTGCCCTCCCTGCTTGCATCATCCTTACTCATTCCAATCACACACAGCATTCCGCTAACACACAATATTCCCATCAAAGGGCATTCCTATCACACACAGCAGCAACAACAGCAGCATCAACAGCAACAACAGCATTACCAAGAGCAACAACTGAAATAACAGCAACGCAACTAGCAGCCACAACAGCAGCAACCGCAACAACAGCAGCAACAACAATACGAACAACAGCAACAACAATAACAACATTAGCAACAGCAGAAACAACACATTTTGATGGCGACGCTGCGACTTCTGCTTCTGCTGCCAGGCTGCTTGCGGCCTGGCTCTGCTCTCGCTGGACTCTGGCTGAGCGAGCCGAGCGGTGTAGTCAAGCAATGCCTCACCTCTTTCCTGGAGAGTGATGGACGGGCCACACCGGGAACTTTTCTTGGCTTGGATCGACAAACCAATTCTATCTCACCCAACGTTGCCGACTCACGAGCAGACTCGGCCCAGCATCCAACGTGCAGCCGGGAGTGCTGATTGGTCGACTTTCTGGTTTAAACTACTTGAGGTCTACACCCACTGTGCTACGATCTGCTGTGGAAATATTGACCCCGACCTGAGCATGCTCGTCACTTGTGTTGCAGATCTGGTCAGTTCTTCTTCTGCCCTACATCCACACGATCACAGTAGAGCGCCTTCATCACCATACTGATGAAGGAGCAGGGCTTCTCAACTTTGGATTGGTCAACGCACACTTTATAGTCAAGAAGACGGCACTGATCCACGATCTGATCAATGATTATGGACTCGACCTACTGGCCGTTACCATAACCTGGGTATCTGACGACTCACCGGACGTTATTAAGCGATGACCTAACAGTTACGCTATCATACATCACCATCGTAGTGAGAAGCCTGGCACCAGCAGCCCACATGCTGGTGGAATTGCACTAATTCACCCTGAAGACATTTGCGTGAAAGTTCTTAGTGACTCATTAACAATCACGCTATTTGAGCTCCTGTTTGTGAAAATAACTAATAGCATGTGGGGGCTTACGACTGCTGTCATCCATTGATCGACCGCCGTCTTCACCGCTGTCAGAATTCTTTTCCGCGCTTTCCGGTCTGCTAGACCTGGTTACTTGACTCTTGCTACATCAGCTGTGGTGACCTGAACTGTCCTGGACCATCTGGTTCTTGTGATAAAATCAACAGTGATCTTTCACGAGATTATCGACAGTCAGTTTAACCCAGCACGTCAGCGGCAGAACATGTAACTTGGGAAATATACTTGGGAAATATCACATCTTCACACCCGCTGATACCATATCTGTAACTGACATAAAAAACGTGGGTATTTCAAGCCTACGTGTTAAACAGTGGATATTTAAGATCACAGTCTCGTAATGTGCAAAGTGCTGTTACCGATTTTTTACCCACCCGTGACAAAGACTGGAAACGATTGGACCACGATGCTTTCTGTCAGAAGATCTGGTCATCATCATCATGAGCATGTATAAACCTGCATCGACGGTCGATCCATTTGCAGCTCAATTAGAAAATTACATTATTGCTGTTTTTGATGAAAACGTCCCCATCTGAACAAGCACAAATAGAACGGGAATAACACGGTAACGGTCTGTCACTGAAGGCGATCGCTGCAAAGCAGACATGGAGGCCAAAGTTTTTTTGGAAAAAAACTGGTCTTGAGATTGTTCGACTCACTTACAGAGCAACCTGCAGATATCCCAACCGACTCATTATTGAGTCGAGCAGATCATTCTATGCTCTGCATGTCAATGAGTTAGCTCGCGACTCCCATGCTCTGTGGCGCATCGTGAAGGGTCTGATGCACTCCAACCACCGATAAACCAGTCAATCCAGTCTGTCCACAGTACTTGGGACATTCTACACTAATAAAATAGTGACGACCAAGACAGCAGTTTCTAACTTGAAGGCAACACATTCTCCCAGATCAGCCTGGAACCAATATTAAACTTGAGACCTTGGCAAACATCGGTGGCATAGGTGTCGATGTTCATCACACGGCTGCCAAATGAGACACCCACGCTTGCCTGCATCCACATGTCGATTCTAAAATCATGCTTGGCCGTGCTTGTGCCGCTGACTGTCCAACTGCAAACTATCACCCGATCTCAAACCTGAGTCCGATTTCAAAGGTCATAAAACACCTTTTGTCTGAAGTGGTTACTTCCCCACGTCGCTGTACAATGGACAGATTCAACCCGTTGCAGGTGGCATATCGGAAGTTCCACAGCACTGAGACTACCCTACTAAAGATCACTGATGACCTCTACAAGATCATGGATGACTGGTGCACCGCAGCATTACTCAGCCTCGATCTCTCAGCACTAATATGAATACTGTGCACCAGTATAGACTAGAAGTAGTCACACTCAATTTGTCTAATTGAACACTGCAATGTGGTGTATCGCTGGAGCCCTCAAGTCGACCCCAACACCCTCGTTGCCCGTGCTGTCACACATCTTTCCCCCACCCATCCACCACAAAGCTGCAACTCTCCAGGAAGTCCTGCGATTTGAGGAAAACATTTGCCTCCCCATTCATCAGAAACTCAATAACGTCCCTTGTCATCGCTTGAAGTCACACAAACCCTTTTGGACCCACACACTTAACCTTAAACAATGTGATTTCAACCCCAATGTGACAAGCACAAAGTGGCACACACAAAGTGCTTGCCGTACATGTGTAGTGACTGGGTATGTCACTATGTGGTGCCAGGCCTGCGTGTATGTTGCCATTATGTATAGCCGGTTACTGGGCACAGTACTAACCCTAGCGGGGCTTGGGTGAGCGCTGGTTATCGCGAGGGCACCAGGTGCAGTATGCGGTGCGGGCTCCCGGTGAGGGAGCAAGAGAGTGTCTGCCAGCCAGGGTTACATTGGGGCATGATACTCTGGGTAACCTGCTGACACGTGACCGGATGATATTGGTAGGGGGCCACCGGTGGACAGGGGCCGCTGGGGGTCACGTGGTATAGAGGAGCCCTCGGGAGCCTTGGGGAAAGAGCTGGAGAGATCGAGGTGGGCGGGGCGAGAGGCGGAGCCAGCCCCAGCTCAGGCTGATATAATGGGGGCCCCGTGTGGGGCTTGGGGTTCTTGACTGTTGGTGAGTGAAGATCCACATCGGGTTGAAGAAGCCTCGAGCCATGCAGTCCGGGACCCAGCTCGTGGTCCGTACCAGGATAGCGGGACCGCGTCTAGTTCTGCCGTAGCGTGGTTAGACGGGCATTCAACACCCGAGTGTAGGTCACGATATGTTGTGTTGAGTTGATGTAATAAATAGTGTTGCTCCCAAGACAACATCTGCGACTCATTTGGACTCACTACACATGAACCACAATACCTTGCTAATCTTGTCAAGGAGCATAAATCATCACACAAACTCCGGTCATCCTCACAGCAGTTTTTGGCTAACCATCGAACAAAGATAGTCACCGCATCGCGCGGCGCTTTCAAATATGCGTCTGTGGCAAATATTAGGAAGCCACTGGAACTGTGCACTTTCAAATCAAGATTGAAAACTCATTTTTTTAGAACTGCTTTTTGTGTTTAGTTTTGTTGTCCTTTCCCTGCACCTCCGATGATCACGGTTGGCTACGTATGGTGCGAAAGAATTTAAACTTACGTACATTAAATGTCCACACCTTGTTGAAGGTACGGCAGCTTTGATTGCTGGATTGGCACCCTGATTCACCACCCTCACTCTTTAAGTCCTCAAACAAACGTCGTGCCTTTGCTGGATCACCAGTAAACTGAGAGGAATTTGGCACTGATTTTGATCTTCAAATCACACTTATTATAACAGGTGCTTCATATTTCCTGCTGCAAAACGGCGTAATGATTCTAATTTGGTTTCCAATGTGATCACCTTCCCACACATCATGGCACTTGAAGCAGTTAAGATAACTTCTTGATGTTGAGGGAAGCGGTGATAAATGACCTCAACAAATCAAAACAAAAACAGCCCACAATGAACTGAGATGAGGGTATGCCGCCGCGTACTG